GCGCCGATTTCAGGAACTCGAGAAGGAAACAAAAAAGCTCCACGATGAGTCGAAGAAGTATTTCGACGCCATCAATGGTATGACCGCATTTCTCAATTTTCGGCTCCATCCCACTCCCGTCCCCTTTCCCCCTCTCCCTACCCCTCACCGTCAGTTGCTGACCGACTTGGCAGGCATGCTGAACCATCAAATCGGCTTTTCCAAGGCGATGACGGAATTATACAAACCTATCTCCGGCCGTGCATCAGACCCCAGTACCTACACTATTGAGGGCAACCCGGAAGGAATCAGGGCGTGTGAGGAATACGAGGCAATCGTGCGCGACCTGCAGGAGTCCCTCGTCCCCGAGCTGGAGATGATTGAGACCCGCGTCATCAGTCCTGCGGAACAATTATTGGAAGTGATCAAGGTCATTCGCAAGGTGGCTGTGAAGCGGGACCACAAGAAATTGGACTACGATCGCCACAACAACTCGCTCAAAAAATTACAGGACAAGAAGGACAAGTCGCTCAAGGATGAGAAGGCTCTCTACAAGGCCGAAAACGACGTGGAGCAGGCCACGCAGGAATACAACTACTATAACGACCTGCTCAAGGAGGAGCTACCCAAACTCTTTGCGCTCGAAGCCGAGTTCATCCGCCCGCTCTTCCAATCTTTCTACTACATGCAACTGAACGTCTTCTACACCCTCCACGAACGAATGCAGAGTATCAACATCGGCTACTTCAACCTGCAGCTGGACATCGAGGAGGCATTCGAGGCGAAGCGCGGTGACGTCAAGGAGCAGGCGGAGGCGCTCACGATTGTGCACTTCAAGGCCACGGGAGGACGCCGGCCAGGATCAAAGTTTGGACCCAAGGACAAGCTGTCCCAGGAGAACAAGGGTGGCTATCCGTCTCGACACAAGGACCCCGATGTGGTCGAGAACCCGCCACCCCCATACACTGCGGGCGCAGCCGGCAGCAGTTACACGGCTGCGGCCAAGAGCAAGCCCGCCCCGCCGCCCCCCAAGCCCAAGCCCGCCCAGTTTAGCGCGCCCGTCGAGACTGTCACCGCACTCTACGATTACGAGGCGCAGGCGCACGGGGACCTCAGCTTTTCTGCAGGCGAGGTCATCGAGATTATCCACCGAACCGACAATCAGAACGAATGGTGGACCGGACGTGTCAGCGGCAGGGAGGGACAATTTCCAGGTAAGATACAATCCGCCGGCCAAACTCAAATCCGCTTCAAAGCAAGCAATCACTAACAGTCTTCTCAGCAAACTACGTCCAACTCAACTAGCATAACTATATAATATTTCTGCGAATCATCACATTTGCCCAAGGCTTTTTACTTTGGACTATCTGGAGTTTGAGGGAGCCACCATTGCTGTATCACCTTGAGCTGAAGTCGGACATTGTGGGTCGTTTGCCTTCGATGCCTTCCACTTCTTTTTCTTCTTCCTTTTCGTTTTCTTTTATCTTGCTTATTTTTGCTATAGAGCATTTTGCATGATAATGACCGTTCGCTGTATATACTTGTGAATCTCACGATCTGAGGATCAACCTTGCCATCAACTTCTACGAATTGGTCAGCTTTCAGAGAGGTGGTACTCGCTCGTATTGACAGATCCATGTTATAGTTAGAGCCGTGTAGTCAGCAGAGCCTGCGGACTAGTGCGCCGCGACCAACATTCCGCAACAGTTCTTGATAAGTCGGACTTTGGCGGCTTCCAAGGAAAAGTGTCAACGACGCCTTCCAGCCCCAGCATGGTCCCCCAGGGCCCCTGACCGGGATACATACGCTTACGTTTGTAGGGATTTCCCGTGACTACCTACCCACCCCCTGACCCGTGTCTGTGTCCGCAACTCCGTTATCTCCTCTTTTGTCTCCGCGGCCAATCGACATTCGGGTTCAGTGCGGATTTATCATCTCGAGACGACGGTGATCCAACCCAGCCTTTTCGTGAAGATGCAAACGTATGACCTCTCGTGTCCAACGTGCTTTACTTGCGGCATTTGAGGGGACCCGGGGAACGCTCGGGGCGTTTTCTCTGACGAGGTGAGGGATTAATTTCAGGGAATGGGGGGCTATTGGACTGGAGTACTGGGTATGATGGGCTTGCCTTGAACAGGAGCGTATAACTTTTCAAGGACAGCACAATGCGTTCTGCTATGGGGATGCTCTGGGGTGTTGCTTGGTTCTGGGTATGTGGACATGGGCCTGGATCATACTCGGTGGACATCGTCACCATCAGGTTTAGGTCTGGGTGCTCTGATTTGAGGATATGACGAACTTTCGGGTGTCTTCTGGACCACTTCTGGAGGGTCGACGGTCTGGTAGCTACTGTACGTGTAACATCTCTGTGCCTGGATTTTGGTGACTACTGCACTGCAGAAATCGAAGAGTGCATGATGCATGGCATAACTACCGACCACACGTTGGGGGCAATTTGATTCATACGTGCTCGGCTAGCCTGCCGGGGTTACCTGCATGAAATCAGCTCGAGCTGTACTGACCGTTCATTGTGTAGTTGAAGTCCCTCCCTCCCGAAGGAGCCACTCCTTATCGCCGGCCACCGGCCAACCACGGAAAAACAAAAACAAAAAGGTAATGACAAGAGTGGGATTCGAACCCACGCCATCAAACGATGATCAGGAAGCTTTGTAGAAGCTGTGTGCTAAGGTGACCTTAACCTGACGCCTTGGACCAACTCGGCCATCTTGCCTGTTTGATGGAATGGGCCTGAAGCTATGGCTTGATGTTTTAACAAAAGCGGAGCAGCCGACGACAGTAAGATTTAGACAGAGCAGGGACTTCGGGGGTAACCCTTCGTGACTCGATGCCCTTTTAATCCCTATAGACAAAAGACGTGCTGGAAAGGGGAGGTGAATATAGTACTAGCAATCGCGTTAAATGAAGATATATAGTACCTTCCACAAGTCCCGCTTGTGTATTCGGGTTCAAAGGCGTAGGGTGCGGAACGAAGTATATATCCACAACGCAGCTGGTAAACCCAACTCATCGACACATACAACTCCCCATGGCATTAGCACCGTCGTCCCAGGTCTGCCGCCCCCATCTCCCCTCCAACTCATTTACTCCGCACATACGCCGGCACAGTCGTCAAATTCAACCCCGCCAGAAGATTCGTCCCGTTCCGCACCAACACCCCGCGCAGGGTATTCTCCACCAGCTTCCCGAGAGGCACCTGCGCTGTCATGGTCAGGTTCCGCATGACCTCGGTGTAGTACGGCACCTGCACGCCCTCGTAGGTGACGTCCGTGCCGACGGTCGTCAGATCCAGGTATCCGCGCTTGATCGCCGCGCGCTGGTCCCGGAGCACCCGGCCCAGATTGGTGATCACCTTGCCCACGTCGAACACCCCGCGCACCGGGGTGGAGTGGTTGCCTGGCGTGAGGGTGAGGTTGTCCAGGGTGACGTTGCCTACCAGGAGGGTGTTGCTGTAGAGGTTTAGGGTCGTTGTTCCCTGTTCGCTCGGTGAGGGGGGTATGGGTTAGTTGGCTGTGGTGGGGGTTTCAGGATGGCAGGGGAAAAGGGGGGGGGGAAACGCACAATCTCTAAAGTCATGGCGGATGGGTTGGGAAGGGTTGCGTTGGCGAGGAGGTTTGTTCCGTCGTCGTCGGCGCGGAGGAGGAGTTGCGGGTCCGAGATGGAGAAGCCCTCGAAGGAGTTGAGGGCTATATTACCCCGGTCATGGGTCATTAGTTTGTCACTTCCCACCGCATGCCATAGGGGCCACATACTGGTTTGGTGGATGTCCTTGTCCATGGTGACGTGGGACTTCAACTTGCCGATGTACGCGGTCGTTGAGCCCCTGACTGAGAGAAGGGCGTGGGACTCAAACACCACGCTGCGGACGTACTCGGTCCACTCGGTCACATTCAACGGGGTGAGGGTGCTGTTGGTTGCGAGGGTGGTGTTGCCGTAGATGCGGGCCGATGGGAGGTAGGCTTTGCCCCAGGTGTTGTTTTCGGGTCGGTCGCGGTTGAAGAGGTTCATGGTGATGGGGTCGATGCGCACGGGGATCTTGAGAGGGAGGTTGAGGGCTGAGTCGATCCGGAGCATCATCGAGTCTGGGCGTGGTTGGAGCACGTCGGCGTGGACGAGCACCAGCGTGGACCCGTCTACCACTCGCTGTGCGATGGCAGGGAGGATGACAAGGAAGCTGTTGTTGAAAGAGTCAGCTGGTGCGTTTTTTTTGCCAAGGACATAATCGGGGAACTCCGTACAAGATAGGCAGAAAGATGGCGAGAAAGATAATGCTTCCAAAGACATAACAGCACCAGAATCTTCCCCAATGGCGACGCATTCGCTGTGCCCGCGTTCGCTTGCCCGACTCGAGCGAAATGCTCCTTGTCTTTTCAAGGTGCTCGTTATCGACCCCCTCCGAGGGCAAGGGCCCCCGATGAGTGCCCAAGGCGTATTTGGCATCATCGGAGTCGAGATTGGAAGGATTTGTGGCCATGGCCAGGCCCGTGACTGGAAGATGCTGGTGGATGAAAAGCACCTCACCTGGTTCCTTGCTAGATAGCTAAGCCAATGCACTAAGTATTATTGCCGTGAAGAGCCAAATATGGAGGTCGCACAGATGGCTCCGGTGCTACACTTAGTATAATTGCATGGACCCTGACCTTGTCGATCAGCCGGAGATACTGTGCAACCCATTGGGGACCGAGGGGCTTGGTACCCAGGCGGATGGTGGGTGGGAAAGACGATCAGTCCCCATATTTGGCATCCTGAACGGATTAGGGCAACGCTCACTTTTGCGACGAAACGGGGATCTACTGGGTGACAACTTTGGGGGAGTTCATCAAAGATGCAACTGCAATTTAATCGTTCTAACAACGGCTCTTGAAATTAATCAATGTTCTTCAATGAAACACCAGTTTCGCCACTCCACACCGCAGTGCACGCTAACTTATACCCAACATCGCATTTAGTCCTACGGCCAAAGCGCCAAGCTAGTTAGCCCTCACTCGATCTCCATATCAATCATGTATCGCGTCTTCCCGGAAGATACTCCCCTCCCACCGAGTCCGCCTCCACTCCGAAGGCCCAGCACAGCAACCACCATCAACATGAACGAGAAAAGCATTTCCGAGCACATCTTCGCTGTTCCCTCAACAGCAAGCAGCAGCAGCAGTGGCACCGCCATCACCAATTCCCCTAGTCCCACAACCATAAGAGACATCACGGACATAACCACCCACCTACACAACCTCTCCAACCTCGAGATCCTCCCCCAGATCCTCCGCGAGGGGATCCTCTTCGCCGGCGGCGGCGCCGCCCTCCTCCTCCAAGCCGCCTACCCAGGCATCAACTCCGCCTTCGCAACCCCCGAAAACGAACCCAGCCACAGCCACAGGCTCGCTCACAACCTCACCCAAACCCTGCAAACCACCCTCCAGCAAATCGCGCTCCTCGTCTTCGGCACGTCCCACGAGAAAGCAACCCTGCTCGCGCAACTCCACCCTCCCACCACTGGTGGCATCTCATCCCCGACCCTCAAAACCCCATCCCCAAGAATAACCCGCCCGCAAGCCCTCCTCTGGCTAACGGCCACCCTCTACACAACGGCCACAGACCTCTACCAACGCACCTACGGCCCCATCGACTACCGCACCGCCGAACGCGCCTACACGGAGTTCACGCTGGTGCTGCAGGCCCTCACCCTCGGGGAGCTGTGGCCCGCGACCCGCCAGGAGTTCTGGGAGTACTGGGACGGGCAGATGACGCGGTTGGCGGTGACGGCGGAGTCGCATCGGGTGGCGCGGGAGGTCCTGCACCAGAGGCCCCTCGTGGCAGACCTGTTTCCGCGGTGGATGGCGGGGGTGATGAAGCCCGTGTTCCGCGGGGTGACGATCGAGTTGCTCCCGCCGCGGGTGCGGGTGGCATACGGGTTGAGGTCGTCGGCGGGGTCGAGGGGGTGGTATCGCGGGCTGATGGCGGGGTTTGGGGGCGCGGTGTATCCTGCGTTGCCGGGGTGGGTGCGGGGGTATCCTTTGAGGGTCTGTTTGGAGGAGTGGAGGGGCGAGAGGGAGGGGGGTGGGGTTGTGTATTCTTCTTAAGGATAGGGAAGGGGAGGAGCTCTGTGAATGAGATACTTCGAGCTTATTAAGAATGAACGGCGCTCCAGGAGTATTGATGGGGGTCAAGTTAGCTGTGCGGATGTCTTCTGGATTGAACATGCTTGCCCTGGAGTTCAGTTGGGATATGAATATACCTATAAGGATTTTGGTAGGCCTCTTTTAAGACTACCCAACTTATCGTCTTCATTTAGCAGTAGCGTAATTCATCACGAGAACCCGTGCACTTAGTGGACTCATCAAGACCAGGTAGTGTTTCGCCTCGCTTATTTTCCTCCGTAATGCCTCCAATTCCCGAAGAATAAAACCACAAGATCCATACACGTTATATACTATAGTTAGACCAGCTATCTATACCAATCCCTTCCTCCCCCCCCTCTTTGTCCCCGCAAAACCAGATCACGAACTCCCAATCAACGCATTCATAATCTTCCCTACATCCGAAACCAGCTATACCACCCAAGTTAGCCCAGCCCTATCCCATCTACCCATCCAACAACCTGATCCCAGCTAGGGACAGAGGGGGAACAAACTCACCGGATTCGCCATGTCAATCAGCTGCGTCGTCTCGTTCACGAACCCCGGCGTCAGCAGGCGGTCCGCATTGTCGAGGATGCGCTGCAGCTTGTCGATGTTGGGCCCGGACAGCAGCCGCTGCAGGTTCTGCGGCGTCTCGCCGCCGAGCAGCACCGCGCCGCCGCTGACGATCGTCTCGAGCTTGTCGACCGTCTCCGGGCTGAGGAGCTCGGTCGCGCCTTGGAAGATGGTGGGGAGCTCGGAGAGGAGGCCGCTGGATGCGGGGGCGCGCGGGGCGATGGGGTTGGGGTTTGGGGTGAGTGGTTCGGTTGTTGTGGTGGTCGTGGTTGCGAGGGCGAAGGGGGTGAAGAGGAGGGCGAGGAGGTAGGTTTTTAGGGGCATCGTGGCGCGTGTGCGGGTGCGGGTGCGGCTAGGTTTGGGGTTGTGGGAGGTAGAGGGGGTGGTAGTGGTGGTGGTTCGTTTGGGCATTTTGGGTGGATTATGAGTTTTATGTGAGGAGGAAGTGATGGTATATTTGGGAGTGTAGAAGGGGAGATGGATTACTTTGTACAGGGGGTAAAAGGGTTTATAGATCTAAATAGATCTAAGGTTGAGAGGAGGGTGGTCCCTGGGTTGAGGGGTGATCGTTGCAAAGTCTATACCATGAATGGGGTGGTGGATTCAAAACAATCGTGTTTCATGTTGGAGCTTAATGCACTGGGCATTCCGAGGCTGATGGATATAATGTATCCATGTGAATTGACTATTCGCAGGGCATGCGAACCAGACTTGGGTATTGTGGGCCTTCTCAGGGACAATTGCTCTGTGCTTGGTCCCCCGCACGCTGAGGCTACCAACCCGGCCGATCACACAAGGACATCTGGCGAACCGGGAATCAGGGTGGTCGTGAAGAAAGATCAGAAATTGCGGTGCTACGGACTACATTCCCTTGGACGTATCTCAAGATAACCAGCCACTGCACCTCTGCTACAACCAGGGTCATTCTGACGGTGAATGTGTTTCGTCCTTCGGAGAATGGCTCAATGAGGTAGTTCGCGGTTCGACTGCGACCCTTGCATGGTGGGAGGAAGACACGACTGGGAGCAAGGTGGGAAATGCCCGTTTTTGAGTCTTCGGTTTGAGGTTGGTGGGTGTTTCAGGTTGAATTGATTCTGAGGAATTGCTTATCCGGGCCTAGTGGGATCGACGCTCAGGGCGAAGTTTAATTAAATTAAGGTATGGCAGCCGATGACCGGCTTCTGGCCCACTCGAGTTTGTCGAGTACTGCCTGTGATTCCTAGTGCTGTGGAAATTCGACATCAATACAATGTATACTTTGAAGTTCGTACAAAAAGTGCCTCAATTGGTCGCGTTTTGGCTCTCGGCATGTTTCTCATAGTATAGCGTAGCCCTGGATCAGGTAATTATAGAATTGACTGGAAGCCTAGAATCTGATTTTCTCTTCAAGTCATGCAGACATTAATGCACGGTCTAGGCCCCATAGTCATATACCAGTGATGCACCACCACAGATGAAGTAGTAGGAACGAGCCTGTTCCACACCAAGATAAAGTTGGAAACCGGCATGAACTCCTGCTCACTACACCTCAAACCCGGTTCAAGATGATCGAATCGCGGTCACTATTCGCAATCATGCTGTACATACTCGTGGGTTGGTTCGAGCACATGGCCGCCATATTCTCCTGGAGAACTCGACCCGAAACTCTATCTACAGTACAGGATCAACAAGCTCAAAAATGGGTCTGGCTAGGCAGAACATGCTCCTAGTTTGAATTTTCCCATGATTCCATGAATGACAGACCAGCTCATTGAATCTCCATCAGTCTGGTACAGTTTCCGGTGCGATACTAAAAGCACTGACGATCGGAGATATAGCAACACTTCCCTGCTCCCGTGTCAACAAAGCCCACCACCCTCTTCAACCCAGCCAAATCCACACATACAGAGTGCACAGCACTACAATGAAATTCCATCTCAGCCCCGTTTTGCTTCTCGCAGCACCCGCCTTCTGCGCCCCCGAGCCCACCCCAACTGAGTCGATATCACTGTACCTGCCCTCTCCCGCTTCTATGCAACCACGATCTATGTACAGAATGCTGATTCAGATAGAGCACCCTCCAAAACCATCCGCACCCCCATCGCAGACCCCAACCTCAACCTCAACCTCAACCTGAATCTCAATCTCAAGCGCTCCCTCGCAACCATCGCCCCGCCTCCCCGCTCGATAATCACCCAGATCCCGCCCAGCGCCCTCGCCGAACTGCTCATCCCCTCGCGCCGCAGCGCGCTAGCCAGCGATTTCAGCAAGGGCGCCACGCCGGCGTGGTACGGGGCGCTTCCGACGGAGGTGAAGCGGTATATCTCCTATGTCAAAGAGGAGATTGCCAAAGATGAGAAAGAGAATGGGTCTGGGTCGGTGGTGGCTGGAGAGGAGGTGGTGCGGGAGCTGGAGGTGAAGAAAGGCGAGGATAGGGTCGCGTCGGGGACGAAGACTAGTGGTGGCGAGGCTGGGTTGAAGGGGCGCGTGGGGGAGTCGGTGGGCTTGATGGTTGTAGTGTTGTTCGGGTTGGGGGTTTGGGGCGGTCGGGTCTAGGGGGTGGTTTTGCTTGGATGTCGGGATATTGTGGGTGCTTGGCTGGATTGTGATCTTGTACTTCGGATTGTCTTTGTGGAGAGGGAAGATTGTCGAAAGGTTGTGGGTGTACTCGCGAGAATCTGGGTCGAGTCGGTGTTTGAATATTGCTTTAGATAATCAATCTGCGTTGACTCACATGCAGTGTTAATTTGACCAAGGGGAATAGGAAGACCTGATTGCTGAATGGCAAGCTGTTCAATCTAAATCTTGGTCGCTGTGCTGTTCATCCTTGGGAATATTCCAGATTTGAGGGCAGGGATCTAGAAATATTTCTCGAGATGATCTCTTCATGACAGAGTACTCAAGAATTGGGCTTGAAATCTCTATTTGTCCACCCTTGCCTAGATAGAAGATCAGAAGGCGGTTCGGCATTGATGCCAGACAAAAATTCGTATGCGGACTTGCCTGGCATACTCGGCGAAAGTGCTTCATAGTCATCTTCCATTTCTTCCCATCTTTCACAAGGAGAATGTCGATAGTGCCATCGCTGTTTTTATCGCCGCGTATATGGGTGTGGCCATGTAAATATCTGAGGCAACACAGATGCATGTGCTGGGGATGTGTCCGTCCACGAGAATATCCGAAGGTAAGCAAGATGACTTTACAATAGGAAGAGTGCCGTATGCCTGGTCAAGCCCTGAAGATCCGCAGAGGACAAGACCATCAGTAGCTTTGCAATGGTACAGAAAATTGGTGTACTCCCAGTTTTTATCACAGGCCAGCCAGAGCGGGCCACCTCGAAATCCTTCGTGTTCAAAATCTGGCCGTTTAAACAGTCCTCCACTCCAGACCATCCTCGCGGATCACTTCGCATAAATGGGAGCTTGTGTTCGTAGAAGTCTGCTCGTAAAGAACAAGCACACCAGGCCAGAGTCACCATGGCCAGAGCAACTAGCAGCAAGTCCGGAGGACGGATGTATCTTGATTCCTAGATTCTCTAGTGTCCCATGCTGCCATGAGCTTGCATGTAGTATGGAATTCCGGCGCGATGGTCATGGTAGAGTCAACGAGCACCCGTTCTCAGCAGCATAAAAGAGATGAACAACCCAGCTGTTCGAGCCCAACACATGTGAGCCTTCCACATCTTCGTCTTCTTGATCTTGCTCCTCCGACTCTTCACCGCGTGCAGTAATGCGATTTCATCGTGTGCGAGAGTCTGCAACCCTCCAAAGTACCCAGGTAAAGGAGAGCCCCAATGAAGAATCTCCTTCAGCGAATTCACCCAAGAGATAGCCAGTGAAGTTCATCCTCTCCCCGTAGAGCTGGATCTAGCTACTTCACTCCACATACCAGAAGACTCCCATCTTGTTGAAGGTTTCAACTCAAAAGACGAACTTTAACTTATCATAGGGCCACTGGATCGGACTTCGACCACTCCCTCTCTTCTTGTCCACTCCCCAGGCCTTACATTATTTTGCAGGCAAGTAGCGATCGACTATCGAACCTAGATATTATTCACAATGGATCCGGGTTCTTCGCTGGATTACAATACCCGCCACGGTATCTGCAGCTTGATATTCCCCATGCTAATATTGACTCTTACTTCATCGTCCACGAGCACTTTCCGCCTCAGCCCCGGCATAATTTCGACATTCGTTTGTTTGGACTCGAGCAGGAGCAACGAATAACAAAGGAAATTCTGACTCGGTGCATCGACAACAGTCCAGACTCTGGTTTACTCTCCGGACCCTCAGGGTGCTTCAGGTCCGCGATGGGTCGACTTTGCAGGTGGTGCTGGTGAAAGTAGTGAACGATCACCTTGCCAACATGCTGGTAGTCGCTAAGTTCTATAATTCGCTGTACTACAACCACCGGAAATCTGGAGTCGATCCGTTCCGCTGCGTCGAGGAGGAATATACCCGGGAGACGGCGATTTACCAACACCTGCATAAGCATGGTCTGAGTGACTATATTTCTCAGTTCTGCGGACTCTATTCGCTTGACACGCCCGTTCCCAACAGAGGCATGCGCCAAGTGCTTCTGATCCTCGTGGACTTCATGTCGGGGTTCCAGATGGACCGTCTTCGTCCCGGCCGACTTGCCGTGGAGACCCGGCAACACATCATGGAGCAGATCGTCAGAGCCGGGTACAGATTCTAAGCCATCGGCCTGCGGCACAAAGGCCTTTGCAGGCGTATTATCATGGTCGAGGGAGTCAGGAATCATGACCCAACCTGTCGACTGTACATCACTATAACTGACTTAGGGCAAGCGTATATCGGTCGCGCCACTCAGGAATCTCGCTGGTCGCATGAGGACCGCCTCCTCCCTATTTAGATCACTCCTATCATCTGCTGGTCTTGCGGTTGCGTGTCAAAGAAGAACGATTTCATAAAGTGGTGTGAGTGGGACTGGAAGGACTGGCTGTGCAAGACATTCGCCAAGGACGACCAGCAACCCTACCACTCCACAGATGGCCAGAAGGGCCCCCGACGATTTTCGTGGGGATAAATGGTTCGGCGACATATTTGGTGCTCAGTATCAGTCGTGAGCTTACTTGCCTGCTCCCCAATTCTTGAGCCATATAGTGTCGATGCTGGATGGTGCTACTTATCTTATTGTTATTTGGAAACGCCTTTGATGTCGGAGATAGACCTACCTTCTTCAACCTTCACCTTGTCCTCTCCTTTTTCACCTTGCCCTCTCTTTCACTATTTACACGGTAGTGGTGCATAGCTTTCATTGGTCCCCTACCGCCCAATCCATTTTGTTTTTCTGCCTTGCTACCTTTTTGAAAAATGCTGACAAGCACTTGGACTCCATCCATAGCTCATATAGACACTAACTAATTTCAGAACCACGTTTATCCTCGCGCCTCCCTCAGACAGTTTGAAATTTGCTAGAAGAGTCAATGTATCTGCACTTCCAATCACACACCATGAAATGAGAAGACGGGGCTCTGAGTACAGCGAGACGTGATCAATCCCGAAACACGACCGACGAGCCAACTCTTCCCGCGGAGCTCGCTGAGGACGGAAGAAACTCATCTCAACCGGCACCCTTCTCGAACAGCTTTGTTTTGGGGCTACGAACGAGGCCAATTTGATCAACCAACAACAAAAAAGGCAGGAATGGCCTCTGAGAGGCTGGTTTCTCACAAAGCAAAAAAGAAATGGTCCCAGAGGGGCTCGAACCCTCGACTTTAACGTTATTAGCGTTACGCTCTAACCAACTGAGCTATGGGACCCAGTTGATATACTGAGCTATATACCTGGAAACAATGAAGCAACAACCAACAATGAGCTGTGAGGTTTGGACTCGTTCAGTTCTCACCCGCTCATACCCGTCGTCGCCCGTCAGGATTGTTCCAGCGGGATTGAGACCAGTTCTTCTTGGACAGCGGCATTGCGGTGAACCCCAACATTCGAGACAGCAGATCAATCCCCCTCCGCGGGCATCCGCTAGCCAGATTGGACCACACACGTGGAGGGGTAAATGCAATGCAGCATTTCGAAGACCTTTCCTAGGTCGTCTGGCTCCTTTGGAAAGATGACGAGCAAAGGTCCGATGCAAGGGTCCAGTCCGCATGTTTGGCTTCCGGACTTCCGACCCTCGCGTGCTGGGGCCGAACGGACCAATGTGCGCGCGATTGCATGCTACACCTTCGAGGATCAGGCTGACCGCAGCGTGACCAGCTGCCGCAGACAGAGGGGCCGGGAGTGGGCTTTCGAACACCACCCCCGCATTGCAGGGATACCAGAATCCGATGCTTAAGTGCTCCGGCGGATATTCTATTGGGCTACGCGGGTCAGAAAGAGTGGACGCCAGCAAGGCTGATTGACGCAATCGAATCGAGTTCTAGGTCTAGCCACGAGCTTGGTTGGGGTGGGAAGAGCAGAAAAGAAAAGAAGAGGAGGAGAGGGGCCAAGACAAGTGCTTACGCCTCGTTCTTTCCTACCCTGAAGGATGCAGAACCCGTCGGTGCACCTTATAGTATACTTTGCAGCTCCGAGCATGGAACTGGTACCTGTTTCAGACCAGTCGCGCCGCTTTTACGAGCGGGGTATCCTGATTCCCTGAGGGATCTGATCCTGGGTTGATGCTATCATTGGGTGAGAGTCTGGAAAACGCTTTGGGCTTTGGCCCTGGTTGGAGATCCGAAGCGAGGATCATCGTGGGCGCGATGGGCGGGATGACCCTGCTTACCTGCGGTAGGGGGTTAATTCCGTCGTCATCCGATCAGGCTGTCCTTCCGTCAGTCGGAGTATGCGTGCGCCATTATTCATGATTCCAAAGTTACTTGATCATCGACCATCTTGGTCAGAAAGGTGGATCATACGTACCCGGCTTAACCTTATTGCCTGTTCATCTGTGGGTAATTGGGATGAATGGTCATTCAGCCTCATCATTATTGTCATCACAATCTGCTTCCTCCTCAACATCAATCATCAGTCATTGTTCCTGCCTGAGGCAACTAAACTCGACAACCACGAGCGTGACGAGCCTCATTCCTGTTGAGCCGCGTGCTTCCTTCCTTTGTCCTTCTTTGACAGTTTCCATCCCACTTGGTTCCACTACTACGGAGTACACTTCAACCTGAAATGAGCGAGGAGTCACCCTTTCCCCACTGACGGAGTGGAGATTGAGGCTCAACTGGGCCGTCCGACAGTCCGGAACCTCTCGTCTAGAGTTTCCTTTCGGCTGTTGAATCCTGATCCAATTGCCCTCCCTTGCGTAATCCCGTCGATAGTGGCTCGGGGTTACTGGCTTGGCTTGCTGCAGCTGCCAGGCTCCCAAGATTTCGGTTCAATGTTTACTAGACTATTGCACACGTAGCTAGCTAGCTACCTACCTACTCCGTACCTAGTCCCGAGTCGCTAGTTCGTTGAGCCTCTTCCACTTGAGTCCCTGGACGACCGCAACAGGTCTCACGAGGGCAAGAGAGCGAATGGGAAGAGACGCTACTATTATTAGCGCCGATCGTTGAGGGCAGAGCAAGAGGTCGTACTGCTGACGGCACTGAAACGCAGACGCAGCCTTGTCTAGGGTTGTCCCCCTGACAATCACCTTAAGATACCGTGGATGAGTTAACCCGATATTGGAGGGATGTCATAACACAGCAGGACACAGAGATCATGCCTGATCTGACCGCCCTTCTAAATAGGTATGCTTAGAGTGGGACGGTCGATCTTCGTTGTCGCATTTTTGTTCGAGTCGGTCGTACTTGTGGAGCTTTGCGACCATGACTGTCGTTGTTGTTGTTGTTTTTATTGTTGCTGCTGCTTGCTGCTTGCTGCGACTGCGACTACGTCTTGGTCCTGGTCCTTGTTTATTACTGCTGTCACTCGGACCCTCGGACCCTCGGTGACTTTTAGTCTTCCTTTTTTGTTCCCTCGGGCGGGTCTCTTGCTAGAACTTGTAAGAGAGAGAAAGCAGAGAGAGGGAGTAATCAATTATTATTATTCCCACTCACTACTACACGCACTAGCTAACCTACCTTCCTTTTCGCCCCCTCCCCCTCTCTTACTGATCTGAGCTGCTGCCCGGTTCATTTTTCACCCTCCCAGGAATGAGACGGAAAACCAGCCACAGAGCCGCATCAGGACCCAAAAAGTACAAGTTCTCACCATGACGGCTGATCTCCCTCTTGACTCGGCCCAGGCGTTTCCTTTGCATGGTCGTTGATTGTCATGGCCTGGGTGGATATTCTTCAGCTGGATTGATTTTTTTCTTTTTTATCTCGCTCTGTATTTCTTTCTTGCCACCGCCCAGATCTTCAGCTGAGATATGCGATTGGCTCGGAATTGAACTTTTCAGCGAAATTCGACCGATCGTGTCTTGAATGAAGCTCGCCACAGTCCACTTGCATTGAAAATCACTGCATACTTCAAGGCTTGAGGCTTGGTTGATTGCCTGTGCGGCACTGCAGCGCATTGCAAACATATTACCCGTTGTGGTTTGGCTGAATTGGGCATCGGGTGCCCCCTCGACGTCTGCCTTCCTAACTGGGTTACCAGTTCACCACTCCATACTTTATCTCCATCTGACCGCCTTGATTTGTTTCTTCCATCCTTGTAGTCAACAAGCCTTCCTCTTGTGATCATCGTCGCTTGATTCTTTTTCCAAGGTCCAGTGTCTGTGACGCTCGATTGTCTCTTTCCTGATGGTATCGGTCTAGATCTACAGTTTTCCTACCGTCTTGCGCTCCCCTTCCCTTTGCCGCACATGGTTGATAGTCCGAGATGGACACCGCCCATAGACCCCCCAAGAATCTGGACTGTATTCCCTACGATGTGTTCTATCAGATCGCGTCCAGACTGGGATCCCAAGACCTGGTCCAGCTGGGCCGCGTCAACGGGGCCCTATACCGTCTCGTCCAGGACGAGAACATTGCCCGCAAAGCCATCGAGGTACCTCTCTCTGATCTATACGGACAGGGGCATGACTAACTGCCCTAGAATGAATTGCGTCATACCACCGAAGGCCAGGAAGCCATTGCCGCCAGAAAAGGATACCGCAAAGCTCTGGGCCGGGTGTTCGACATCCGCGAGGCCTTTGCGACTGCGCAGCCATACTCAGCTTCCCTCCTCGCCTACGGCAGCTCATTTCTCTACGGTGGGGGTGCCCTGACCTACATTTACAGAGAGGAGATCCGCGTACTGGACGTTCACGGCGCAAGTTGCACTGAGCAAGTGTTGAACCTCCACCGAGTCGTGTCGCGAATCATCCCGTCCTGTGACCCGAACGAAGAGACGATTCACATCCGGCTCATGCAGTATCACGACTGGAATCTGGCATTCACCGTGGAACGCGAAGACACGGAGGAGACCTGGTTGATAGCCGTGGACATGCGCCCCAAATTGGAGTGCCACAAGACAGGGCGATTGCGGTTCATCACTCGGTTGCCGGACACCCGACGGCTGTTTGTCCGGCTCAACACTCGGTACATCTACTGGGGAACACACAGCATGCTGAGCGCTGACGGCCATCTGCAATGGGTGGTCGAATGCGCGGATCTGCAGACGGGTCGCAACACCACCCGGGCGCCTCTGATCCTCGACAACTTCTCCGGACACGATATCTCCCAGAACGTATGTTTTGGCGTTTACGATGACCACCTCTATGCAGTGTCGACGATGATCGGCCACGAAGCGGAGGAGATTGACTGGACCTCCTACTATGTGTGGCTGTGCGTGTCGCCCACGGAGGAATCCAAGCAGAGCACGATCAACTTCAAGTGGCGGCGGCAGCACCGCGAGGGCCCCGTCAACGACACCTGGTCGGATCTGTCCCTCCGGGTCGACGAGGCCACGAAGCAGCTGATGATTCTCGAGTGCCGCCGCGAATGGATCAACAGCGGCAGTGAAAACATTCGCACGTACTACATGCAGTCGCTGCCATCGCCGGCTGAGATCGAGCAGAGTAAGCAGGAGCGCTTCGCCGGCTTACTCCGTCGGACCCGCAACGCACCACCCCCGCCCGCCGTGCTCCCCGACGAGCCCCTGACGCGAACCCTGGACTCGACCAACAAACCCCGCTACGAACCGCCCCAAAAGCGCATCCGCCGCCACTACCACCAGGAATACCCCCCGGGAACCGACCTCGCCAAACGACGCGACTTCATCCTGGCTCGCACTAAATACCGTACCTACAATCTCTCGAGCTCGACATTTGTAGATCTTGTTACTGATGCGGCCGGACCCCAGCCCGGCAACAGCAGCAACAGCACCACCACCTCGGGTCGCATCCCCACCGACCAACTCCGCCTCCGTCTGACCTCGCGCAAGCGCAAGTCCCCCATTGACTCTGCAGGTGAAGAAGTTGAGCCGGGGCTGCTGTACCCACCGGAGCTGGACGATCAAGACTCACCCAGCCGCCAACCAATCGACCACAGCGAAGAACGCTTCGAATCGTTGGGGGTGCACATGTGGCCCCCCGACCACGCTCCGGCGGCGCTGACGCAGCTGCTTTCACCCACGAAGCGCATCGCCTCGTCCGAGGTGCGCGCCGCCGCCGACGAACGCTCGCTGGTGTACTCGGTGGATGCGCCGGACTCTAGCGATGGCGACCAAGCCATCCTGTTCGTCAACTTCGATCCACTGCTACGGCTGCCTGGACTGCAGCGATTGGACATGACGGACGGGCGTGTGCGAGCGATGCAGCGGCCACCGCAGGAGGCAGCTGAACCGACCCATCCCGCGGGCAAGGGGGAGCGCGTCCGCGTCGGCGATGTTGCGCAGATGGAGTCGACTAGGCATACGAGTTTTGGAACCAAGCGGACGGCGGCAGCGGGGATGGGGGTGGGTAAAGGGGGAAGGGGGTCACCGGTGCCCTCGGTGCGGGAGGAGGGGGCGATGTATCTGCGGCTGGGGAGAGGATTTTGGTTGCGATAGGGTAGGGTGGGCTGGAGGATGGTGTATGGTTTGCTGGGCAAACCGCCGTGTTAGGATAAGGGAGTGGCTACTAGGTAACTACTGTCTGTCAAGTGGTGACCGGGGCTGAGCACTGCCTCAACGTGCCGTGTGGCTGTGCAACGCATGACGGATGGATGGCTGCAGCCAGTGACGCTGGCAGCGCAACTAAGTTATAGATGATAAAACCCGTGATAATTTAATTGGTCAATAAGAAGCTGAATATATTTAGAGGTCGTGAGTTTTTGCGTGTCTCGTCTCTCCATGGTGTAGCTAATACTTAGTACTAGGTATGTAGAAGGGATCTCCTCCGATCGGATAAGCAGTAGTAAGACTACAGTCAGCCTTGGCAGCCCTGACCCGTTAGTCGGATGTAAGCTTACGAGATCCTTCTGTGCATGTGGAGTGAACGTCCCTCAAACCTCACCGGTGGGGTAACCATCCCACAACCGCATTGTCTTTGGGAGTGGTAAGTTAGTGGTAGTGGCTACAACAAACATGTCATGTCTTACATCCGTGGCGTGACGAATGTCAGATTCCGCCCGTAGGATCAAGGATCCGCGAGAAATGCCTATCTGGGTGTGTGTGTGTGTGTGTTGGTGTGCTTATGCCAACGGCTCTGATTACCGATCTTGGTATGCTGAACCTCCCGCCGCGGGTCTACGTAAGTCCTGAATGTATGTATGTATGTGTGTGTGATCTGATCGGATCTCTTCCTCCGTAGTCCGTACAGCACGGATCCTGATCTCGATCACCTGGGAGATATCGTGTAAGTTCGGTTGCGGTTGCGGTTGCGGTTGCGGTTGCGGTCAAGGTCAAGGTCAAGCGTGGTGAGGCTCTTAGGGTCTGCTGGATTGTGTGCAGTGCAGTGCAGTGCAGTATCTGTGGTGAGGCTCTATAGCACCCTACAATAGCATGTTCTTGTTTTTGAGGAGTATGGTCTGTCGCCTGGCCCGTCGTCTAGGGTGCCGCATAGCTCCACCCCCTCCGAACAAGTAGTGAATATTCCTCGATACCATTTGGGCTATACATTTTGGGTGGATATATTCGGCACCGTGCCGCGTAGACGCGTGCGTCTTGATTCATGAGTGGATTCCGGGCTCTGTTCGATGTCTTGGGTTGGGCTCTTGGGTTGATATATGGCTCGCGGGATGAGGGTTCGTTGGTGTTTGCGATGTAGTTTCTTTGGTTAGTTGTTGTATTTGGGCATGAGCGTGAGGGTAGTGGTGTTAGTAGTGGTGGGTGGGTGGGAGTACGTAGCCTCTGCTTCGGAATCCTTGGGGTTATGGTCATGTTCACGTTCATGTTTATTCTCGTATACATTTGATATCCTTGGGGCATTGGGTTATGGGGGATATAGTGTGAGCGCCATGCAAGTGCCGTGCCCGTGCCAGTGCCGTGCAAATGCAGAGGCCAACTAACCCCCCCCCCCCCCGACCTTGACTGCGAGCAGATTACCCAAAAAGGCGAGTGGATACCCTCCATACGGTACCCTACCTATCCTACCCTATCCTACCCATCCATATCCCCATCCCGACCCGAGTCCAAGCCCAAGCCCGTCCGTATATACGGGAGTCATTATGTGTAATCCACATCTGACCGAGTAGGGCTCTAGCTCCCGCTCGTCGACGAGTCTAGCTTGTTTAGCTGGGGTAGCTGGGGTAGCTGATAGGTCACGTCGGGTATGGCAGGTTAGGGAGTGGGGTGTGTGGAGTGAGTGGAGTGCGTGCAGCGGAGGGGGTGTCTGTGCTTCTTCGTATCTTACTTTCTGACTGACTTGATCTGACTTGACTTGATCTGACCTGACCTGATCTGACCTGGGTACGGGATGCTCGGGTGAGAGTTGGGGATGTGTTCTTGGTCATGGGTCCGGATCGCGGATTAGATTTCTTGGTTCTTGGCTCTTAAGTCTTGGTTCTGGGAGAGTGGGGGTACGAATACGGGCCTCATGTCTTGGGTTGTGGGAATTGGAAGTTGCGATGGGGCTTTTGTGGTGCTCGGTGTTGAGGTTTAAGGGAGGGGAGGGGAGTGTTCTTGTGATGAGTGGGTGGGGGCGTGAGTCATGGCATTGGTTCATCATTCAGGTTCTGGGGTGTAGCTTGTCGGTTGGGGATGGGGTGAGACTCTATTCTAATCATTTCTAATCAACCTGACCATTCTAATCAGTTCGGGATGGGTGAGGCTCTTCCCAGGTGGTAAGGTTAGCTAGTTGCCTGAATGGGGTAGGTGGCGCGAGCTCATGCGCTATGACCGGGCGATATACTTGAATTGTAGACTGAGTTATAGGTGGATGCTGAGGGGATGAGGTGAGACAGAACATTTACCTTACTAAGAATGTCTAACCACAACTCTATGCGCACAAGCAACAAGATTCACAACTTCCACTCCCGCTCCTCTTCATGATCCATTTGGCCTTCAGCAGCATCACCACCAGAACCATACCCACAACCCACTGCACCCCCCTCCTCTCCCACCCCCTCCCCCGCATTCAACCGCCGCACCTCCGCCAAAACCCCCGGATACGTCCAATTGAACCTCCGAAAGCGATGCACCTCCTGCGCGGACTTGCGCCCGCGCGCCTGCACATTATTCACCTGGATGCGCGACGCCCGCGGCCGCCGCACCCGATCCAGATCCCGCAGCAGCGCCGGCACAGCCTCGGCCGTGACATGCTCGCCCAGGAACAGACGGAACGCCTCCGCGTCCTCGATCGCCTGGGTGCCGCCCTGGCCCTGGTGCGGGGTCATCGCGTGGGCGGCGTCGCCGATCAGCACCGTGCGGCCGGCGATATAGCTGGGGAGCGGCGGGGTGTGGTGGAGGCGCCAAACGCGGAGGCCCGGGGTGGGAGCTGCGCTGTTGCATGTTCAACCCAAGTTCCATCTTGATGAGAGTGTAGTAAAGTGCGTGCAAGCTTATTTAGGAGGAACACTCACCGTAGATAATCCCCCACCCAGTCGGGAAAATCGCGGAAATGCTCGACCAGCTCCTCCTTGTCGGCCTCCGCCGACCAGTTACTCGTAGCGAGCTTCGCGGCCGTGGACCGCCACAGCATCGCGTCCGGCACGATGACGGCGAAGTTCAGGACCTCGAAGTCGCGGCACGGGTAGATCACGACGCGGCGCTCGGTGGCGTCGAAGGCGAAGACGGTGGTGATGCAGCCCGGCTGCGTGCGGTCGAGGGCTGCCGGTAGATAGCCCAGGGCGTCGTGGGCCTGGGCGCGCGTGAGGGTGAACCGGAAGATGCAGGAGCCGGCGGGGATCGGGTGGATGTTGGGGACGGCGGGGAGGACGAGTGGGCGGAGGGTGGATTTGATGCCGTCGGCTGCTGTTGTTGGGTTCAAGGTTAGGATCTGGATCTGGATATGATACTGGATATGGTACTGGTGCTGGTGGTGCTGGTGGCTGCGCCCTAACCACTTCTCTCCAGAGTAATATCACGGGGACTGGGCTACAAACCCACAACCAAATCCGCGCTCACCACCTCCCCCGTACTCAGCACCACCTCCCCATTTTCGATATCTCCTTGTCCACCTCCACTACCACAGCCAACAACCCCGACCCCCCACCTCACCCTCGCCGGACACCCCATCACCCCCACCTCCTCCGACGGCGCCGTCGCCAACCGCAACAGCTCGTCCCGCAGATCCGCCCGGTGGAAGAACAGCCAATCCGCCCCGAACTCCCGGCGGTAGTCCACCGTCGTGTCGGCCGTCACCGCCCCGGCTTTGTTGTAGGCGATGGTGCGCGCCACGGGGATGGCCCGCGCCCGCGCCCGGTCCAGGCCCACACTCTCCAGGATCGCGATCCCGTTGGGCCCGATGTTGATGGCCGCGCCCGTTTCGTTGGCCGACGGGGTGCGCTCGTAGATGGTTACCTGGTGTTGTTCGCGGAGGATGCGGGCCGCCAGGAGGCCGGCGATGCCGCTGCCAATTATGGCGATGTTGAGGGGAGGCATTTTGACACTTTGGTTGGAGATTGAGATGGTGTGGGTTGAGGGTTGAGGGTTGAGGGTTGGAGGGGGGTTTGAGGTGTGGTGGTGGTGGTGGTGGTGGTGGTGGTGATACCCTCTCCCCTTGCGTGACGCTGAGGTTGGTCATGCAAGGTGTGAGGGAAAGGCCTAGAGTTTGTTGGTTGTTGATGTCATGCTGGTGATGCCCTATGATAGTCTGCACCTTGCGGGGAGGAATGATTGTGGTTGGGTTTCGGGATGCTGGGTGCTGGGAGGGTTGAATCATAAAATTATGATGAGACGATGGGATTAGATGACATGGACAGTCAGGGGCGGCTATCACCATTGGCCTATCAGTGTGGTTATGATGAACAATGATACATATCAACAATAGGCTGGAGATCGTGAGTTCATGCTGTTCCTGGGCCCATCAAGTTCGTCACTGGCAATGAGATGCTGATGATGTGCAAGGTCGCAGCGTGCAGTGCTGAGACTGCCCTGTACAATATAGTCCCGTGGACGTGCTGATCCTATGTTGGGCTCTCACCAGCATCTCGGCAAGATTAGCACAAGCACCAGCGATCAAACTCATGCATCTGGCAAGCGACGTTGACGCATGAGAACCGGTTGACTGGTCGCGAACATGTTTCGTGTCGGAGACCAAGTTCAGTATGATTATTGCTTCGTTGATGGCTTCTGCCTTTGACAGGTTAGAAATAAGCATGCAAGCATGCAAGCATGCAAGCATTGAATCAGTGGAAAAAAAAGCATAACAAACCTCAAGTCTAGACAGCACCCCTGGGATAACTACGGTCAAATGCTGGCAGGAGAAGCAACACTTACGAGTCAAGTGCAACTGCAATCTTGTCATTCCCCGCGAGGCCTATACCTATCACATCGAGGATAACTCACTACCCAGTAGTCCCCGATCATCTGATGAGTCGAGATAAGATCCCTGACCCAACTACCAATCAGATCCTCTGCACCGTTACTTTCCAAGGCAGAAGGCTGGCCGTGGCAACATTGCGTAACGATGCAGGACCAACCAGAATCCGGATTCCTCCCCGCATGGCCCGAGTCATCGACTTCCCCGACCGTGGCCGTGGCAGTGGCAGAGCATTTCATTGATCGCCCTACCCGGGGTCAGTCGCTCAAGTCCGAACCTCTGGCCAAGTCGATTGGTCGGTGCCTAAAAGGGGCTGCAGCGAGTCTTCTGGAAGATTGCCTGTCTGATCCATGGCTGAGTCCGCTGGGCAACGTAATCCTGCGTATGGTCGGATGTTCCGTGCCGGGGAGGACTCTGAGAATCAACAGGGTCGGTCGGGAGGCCGATAGGTATGGCTTGAGTGGTTAGGAGTGTAGAAGCAGTGTAAAAGGTATAGGATCTGGTTTCATTCATATTACGAGAGATAGGAAGCAATGAATCAGTCTGTTATGGATGCCGTTGTTCTTCAGTGCTCAGTTCTGGCTCAGTTGGCAGGGCACCTCCTGGCCGTGTAATGCTGCTGTATCACGTGTATTGTAACTCTGCCCTACGCCTCGTGCAGACCCACCGTCTCTCCCAATGGCAGCCAATGCCGAGTGCTTGTGAGCGGGGAAGAAGCCGCATCAGCCAGCCCTGTGAGTCTGCGACAATAATCTTGCCTCTGCTGCCCTTTAAATACTAAATCTTTCCCCCCCGCCGTGTCAGCTTCTTCTCCTTACAATCTTTTTTCCCCCCTTGACTGTGTCCGGGGCCGTATACACAAATCTCCACATCAAGACTAGACAGTCTAGGCTCCATTCACCGGGCATAGCGCGTTAGACAATCGCCTACATTCCGGCTTACCAGTAGTTCACTCTCGGATATTCTTATCCGCTCGCACACCGACACATCGGCTCGCCCCTCCCTTTTGCCCACAGCCTCCTTTCCCAAGCAATTGATGCACTACCAGAACTCGGGATATTCGCACGGTTGGTCCGGCGGTTATCCTCCTCCTTCTCATCAGGGAAGCTGGGGTCCGCCGCCTCCACACCACAACCAGTGGGTTTACCTGTTACGAAGATAAGACACGCACGCAGACTGATTCCGCTCTAGATATCCCCCTAGTCCACAATACTATCCCCCTGCAGGACCACCTCCCGGACCTCCGCCAGGACACCAGTACTCTCCTCCGCCCGGCCCTCCGCCAGGTCATCAGTATCCTCCGCCGTCCGGCCCGCCTCCGTCTCACCACTACTCCTCCTCCGGTGGGTATCCACCCTACCCCTCCCCGGCCCCATCCCCCTACGGCCACCCTCACACTCCGACCCCGCCACCGCAATCCTCATCCCCAGGCCACACCCGATCCTACCACAGTGAGTCCATCCAAAAGTCCTCCCGCCCCCAAGTCTCCCTCTAATGCAAACCCCCTCCGGCCAGGCCACTCCCAATCATGGGGCTCCCTCCCCCCCCGCCCGCCGCAGGAGGCCCAACAGTTCGGCAAGGGCGCCCCCTCCAACTACCGGTTCCAGTACTCGACCTGCACGGGGCGGCGCAAGGCGCTGCTGATCGGCATCAACTACATCGGCCAGCCGAACGCGCTGCGCGGCTGCATCAACGACGTGACCAACATGTCGACCTTCCTGAACGAGAAGTACGGCTACCGGCGCGAGGACATGGTCATCCTGACGGACGACCAGAAGAACCCGATGAGCGTGCCCACCAAGGCCAACATCCTGCGCGCCATGCAGTGGTTGGTCAAGGATGCGCAGCCGAACGATTCGCTGTTCATTCACTTTTCGGGTGTGTGGCCCCAGCCTTTGGACAGCTAGCTAGCTGTGTGTCTGTGTGCGCGTAGAACTGACTGACTGGATCTGTATCAGGGCACGGAGGTCGTACGCCTGATCTGGATGGTGACGAAGAGGATGGTGAGTCTTTCAGCAAAACCCACACACATAAACCCACGGCATTAACCCAATGAACCTCGTTAAGGCTACGACGACGTAATCTACCCTCTCGACTACCGCACCGCCGGCCACATCGTCGACGACGACATGCACGATATAATGTAAGCGAGCCCCCCTTCACTTGTATACACACACACAGAGAGCGACAGCTAACAAAACAAAAGGGTCCGCCCCCTCCAACCCGGCGTGCGGCTCACCGCGATCTTCGACTCGTGCCACTCCGGCACCGCGCTGGACCTGCCCTACGTCTACTCGACGCAGGGGATCCTCAAGGAGCCCAACCTGGCCAAGGAGGCGGCGATGGACCTGTTCAGCGCCTTCCAGTCGTACGGCAAGGGCGACCTGAGCAGCGTCGCGCAGACGGCGATCGGCTTCTTCAAGAAGGCGGCCAACGGCGACACCGCGCGCCAGCGCACCATGCAGACCAAGACCTCCCCGGCGGATGTGGTGATGTTCTCCGGGTCGAAGGACACGCAGACTTCGTACGTCCCTGTTTCCCCCCCCCCCCCCTAAACGATGAAGGAAGGAAGGAATGGCTTCGCCAGAGTGTGTCGAATATGCTAACTTTATGGTGGATAGGGCCGATACCTTCCAAGACGGCGAGGCGCGCGGCGCGCTGAGCTGGGCCTTCATCAAGACGCTCCAGCAGCGGCCCAACCAGAGTTACCTGCAGCTGCTGAATTCCATCCGCAACGAGCTGGAGGGCAAGTATACGCAGAAGCCGCAGTTGAGTTGTAGTCATCCGCTTGGTGAGTGGTCCTAGGGCAGGTGAGAGAGAGAGAGAGTGTGTGTGTTTGCTAATGTTTGGGTGTAGATACCAATTTGCTTTTCGTGATGTGAGACGATGCGATGGATTTGGGTGGTGGTGGCATTGGCATTGCATATGGGTTTGGTGTGAGCGATTTCTTCTCTTTAATTCTCAGCACCCCTTGGGGTGTGGGTATATACACTCTATACAATATTCAACGATGAAAGCTGTACTCGTCTATTTTCCCATCTGACCGTAACGCGTAAACGCTGAAATACCACCACTTCCTACATGCATCCACTTCCCCCCCCCCAAAACATCATAAAGACACAGATCGCTATGCTCCCATCCACCCTTCGAAAGGAACCACCCTTAAAGAAGGAACTAAGTATCAACACCCCCAACCTCAGCATTCAAAAACCGCACAAACGCATCCGGAATCTCCTCGCTCGTCAACCCGCCGCCGCGCGCACTGGCATGCGGGCCCGCCACATACGCCCGATTCAGCGTGATCCACTGCCGCCGCCACCGCTGCAGCCGCGGCAGCGCCAGCACCCCGCCGGCGGCGGCCAGCTCCTCGGTGGGCCCGCCGGCGCGCGCGACGTGCGCGGGCACGAACAGCGGCGTCGCCGACGCCGGGATCGGGATCGTGATGCCTTCTTCCCTTCTTCCAGAAGAGGGGGAGGCCGCGAGCGCCTCGTCGGCGGTGGAGTGCGCCTGCGTGAACGCGCGGATGGCCGCGATGATGCTCGAGGTTGTTTTCTCGATGCTGTACAGTGCGGTGGAGGAGGTTGTGGCGGGGAGGGCGGTGGCCTGGTGCGGGCGGATGCGTGGACGGCCCAGGGGGTTTCTTCCGGCGCCGTTGGCGGCGGTGGTGGTTGTGTAGGTTGAGGGGGCGATGCTGGCGGTTTCGGTATTGGTGAGGTGGGTGTTGTTGAGGGAGGTGGTGGTTAGGTCTAGGAGGGATTGTTGCGGTTGCTGTTCTTCGGGCGATGCGGTGGATGGGTGGGGGAGGCCCGTGAGGGCGGTCCAGATCTCGGCGATGGGAGGCGAGGCGTCGGACCATGGGACCGTGAAGAGCGGCTTGTCCCATCGGCTGTGGATGCTGGGTTCTTCGTAGCGGAAGATCAGGTTGTTGAGGAGGTCCGTCGGGTAGGGGTCTTCTTTGTCGGTTGTTGGTGGTGGTGGTGGTGGTGGTGTCGCATCGGTGGTGGTGGGCTCGCTGGTGGAGGTGGCCTCCTCGGAGGAGGAGGAAGGTACACCCTCCGCGGCCTTGCGCTGGATCCTCGCCTCGTTGTTCTTCACGCACTGCTCGATCGGCGTGCCCACATGGACCTATGTCCCGGATTGATTAGCATCACTCTCACCCAGCCTCTTTGAGGGGAAGGACACACCACACAACTACTCGTCTTCAGCGCCTTCGCCTCACACCACAATTGATACCGATACCCCTTGATGTAGTTCATCCCGTCCAGGATCACGAAACTGTCCTTGCCCAGCGCGCGCTTGGCCCGCGCGTACGCCACCCCGCGCGACTCCTTCTCCGTGCGCGCCTGGTCGTAGACCGTGCGCGGGTGCGACGGATCGTGCGTGGGCACCACATGGACCTTGAACCGGGGCTTGGATTCCGGGAACACCCCCGACGCATAGAGCTCGTCCTGCGTCGCTTCGAGTTGCGTCGCGAGTTGGTTCGCCCGGTAGGTCAGCCCCGAGCAGGGGTAGCCGGTTAGCACTATGAGCTTTTCCGGGGAAGGTCAGTATTTTGTACGTTTTATCGTAGGTGGATTGAGCTGAAGAGGGGATCTGGGATTGGGCTTACTGGCATGGTGGGAATGTGCTGGGTGGGATCAATGTTTAGAATTGTCGGATGGTTGGTATGTGCGATGCAAGTTGGGGATTTTTTTGCGCGGGGCCGCCGCCGCCGCCGCCGCTGCGGGCGGGCGGTGGGTGGGGTTACATGTGACTTTGCTTTGCGGTATAGAGCTGGTCGTTCCTAGTCGGCTTCCAACTACACTTCGGCCTTTTGATTGCATTATTGCTTAAATGGTGTTTTTGGGTAGTGCAAGATGTATAGTAGTAGTAGTTAATTGATATAAGGGGGTATACGCCCGTCTATCCTAGCAAACAATCACTTTTGTATGTCCTGTACCATGTACCCCCGCGCAACACCGGCCATGCAATCCAATTCATGTCTCGTCCAGTCCGTCTATTTCAACTCCTCCTCCGTCCACCGGATCTCATATCCAAACACCGTCCTCCTCAGCCGCTCATCCTAAGCCCGAGATTAGCACTAATTCCCCCATCAAAGCACGACAAGAAGACTCACTCCCGGATCATTCTCGAACAACACATCGTCCATCACCTTCTCGAAGATCTTGGTGACGTGGAACCCGCTCTCCTCGGCCAGCGGGAAGAACTTCTCCGTCTTCGGCAGCAACCACGGCTGGTACGGGGTGAAGATGACGAGGGCGACGGCCTCCGGGCTGCGCTTGAGCGCCGCACGCATCGTCTGGATCAGGTTCGGGTGCTCGCGGTGGCTGTATACCACGTCGGCCATAATCAGCAGATCAAAGCCCTGGCTCCGGGCGGCTTCCGGGAGGTAGGCGAGGAGCGGCGCGACGGAGGCGCCCCATTTGTACCCGTCCACATGCAGCGCGGAGTCGCGGCCGACGAGCGCGGCCGACAGCCCCGCGTTGTGGCGCATGTTCTCGACCAGGTCCACGTCCGGGTAGTCGGTCATCACGGCGGTGCGGGCGCCCAGGATGGCGCTGACGATGCTGGGGACGCCCGCCGCGGCGCCGATCTCCAGCACATCCTTCCCCTTGACGAGTCGGTCGGCGTGTTCTTCGAGGTAGTGGGAGCTGGTGCGGCCGGCGTTCCAGAGGAGGTTGCCCTGTTTGAAGAGGAGGAGGTGAGTTTGGGAGGAAGAAGAATCTGGTGAGGAGGGGGGAATACATAGAGCGGATGGCTGCCCACCAGGCGGACGCGCACCGTCTGTCCAGACAGCATGTGATGCTCCGCAAAGGTGGGCTCCGGTTCGGGCTCGTAGAACCCCTCCGGATCCTGGAACATGTCCCCGGTGTCGAAATTGTCCTCGTCCGCCATGGTTTCAGTCGCTCGCTGGGTCAAGTGGTGGTCCAGGATGCGAGGGGCATTGCGGGCGACCGATTCGGAAGCAGGCGCCCTGGGCTGATAATTTCTCGCTATCGCGATAGTGTCGAGTGGAGCTCGTCCATAGTGGGGGATGTCCTTTCTGGGTTTAGCTTGATCCCCAAAAGTCACATGATACCAGGTGACCTGAACCGAGGTAGCGAGTCCAGACAGTCACGGTGCCTGCAGTGCAGTGGGTTGCGCAGCAAATTCCAAAAGGAAAAACTGAACCCCGCGTGGAGATGCGGGCCGGGTAAAAGTCGGACACGGGGTTTCCCTTTTGGGCTCTTTGGGCTCTTTTGGTTCCCCAACAGTGATTGTTCCAATAAGGCAATCTTGGCGATCTTCAAAGACTTGCTGGAACTGGTTTAGTCCTGCTACTTGAGTTCATTCTATTCAGGCCTTTGACTCCTTTCAATCAATCATCAATGATCATTGCTCAAGGAGAAGATTGGCCTTGCAGTGGACCAGGTATGTAACAGTACCTTGCGTCAAAAGTACGTATGCCTTCTTTACCCGGGGTGCATGGATAATCTACCAAGTACTCGATTTCCACCGCATAAAAGCTGGAGAGTTAACTTCGGGATTCTGGGGTTGGGGTTGGGTTTGGGACGGTTTCATCATCATCACCCAGTCGTTGAAGTTCTTTCTTATCGTCGTCTTTCTCGTTGGAGATTTGCCGGACGTCATACCGCGGTCTATCCGGTCAACCGCCCCACGTGTTGCTGGGACTGGGACTTTTTTTTCTCTCTCGCTCAGTCTATTCTTTCTACTTAACTGCATCACTGCTGCTTCCGCTGCTTCCATCACGCCATCCCTCCCTCCCTTTTCAAGGCCGAGAGGCAGCTAGAATCTCGACTGGACTCCACCGGATCAGTCCACGCACTTTGCAGAGATAGGGTGGAGGCAGCCCTGTAGTGTACGGAATACAGTGCACAATCCTCTTTGTTACCTGTTAGATAGTCGTCGCCTTTACAGCCTTTAGCCGTCTTTCATTTTTACCTTATCTTCATCTCCATCTCAGCTTATACCAACCGCCATCTTACATCTCCACCTACCTTTACCTACAACCACCATCACCACTTCTACCGCCTACAACATCACCTCATCCAGCCCAACCACTACACCACAAGTATTGATAAGAATAATGGCAACCCTCAACCCCTCCCAAACCCACCCCCAAAACCTCACCACCACCTCTCCGGCCAGCTCCGTCCCGCAACCCCCCAACCCCCTCAACCTAGCCGCCGCGGCCGCCATGGCCGTCACCAGCACCAGCGCCAGCACCACCAGCACCAACCCCTCTCAACATCCCACCGAACCGCATCAAACCCACTACCACCACCACCACCACCACCAACAACACCACCTAGACCCCTCAACCCACACCGACAACTACCCGCACCAGATCACCGGCTCCGGCGGCCCCACCGCTACCGCCCCGTTCCTGCGCGACTTCAGCCTCGTCGCGGAGGCAGCCAAGCGGGCGCAGATGTCCGTCATGGTGCGCGATCTGGAGAGTGTGACGCTATAGAAATGGCCGTCAGAATGACGTGCATAAATCTGGGTTCTGCAAATACACGCTAGAACTGATCCTTTATTCATTTCCGTTCAAAACTGGTTAGATCTTGGTGCAAGGATGAAGTGTGAGGCGCGAGATGAAGGGACAATGATCGGAACGATCAAGCGACAAATCGGTGGTCACTTTTAGAGTCAAGGGCTGGACTTTTTCGACTCGTGGGGGAAAAGCGCCCTAGATATGCGAGTCAGAAAGAGGGGTGGAGATGGGGGGGTCATCGATGGATGCGATGCGATGCGATGCAATATACTTCCAACAGAATCACGATACAAGCCTAAGCCCAAGCCCAAGCCCCGGGCCAGGGCCAAGGGACGCAACCCACCACAAACACAAACCAAAACCAAACCCAGTCATAAACATACCCAACAAAAATCAACACCTACGACCAACCGGACAAATGAGCAGCTACATACATATATCCTTCACCTCAGACCCTGACCTACTCCCTGACCTACTCCCTGACCAACCCACTTTCCAAACCAAACCCCTCATGCACCATACACTGCACTAGTCAACTAATATCCCCTCTCTCAACACCTTTCTGCTTAACAATCTGGCTTACATTGGCTCCTATGTTCCGGCAACATTTTTTTCTGTTGGTCTTCAATTCTCAAATAATAATGGCGCACACGTGTGGGATGGTGGATAGCGGAGCTTGGAAACATCGGATATGAGTACGAGTACGGGTATGAGTATTTCTTGGGCGTTTGACTTTCAATTCTTCTTTCGGGTTCCAGGTCTGGTGACTTGGTTTTAATGCGGTAGCTGAGCGGTAGCGGTAGTATAGATGATACACGAGAATCTGAGTTGTTTCTTACTCTTACTCATACTTAAGTATGGTACGGTAGTGTAGTTTACGTTTAGTCCTCGGGGACTGAGAGTCTTGTATACCCCGTTAAGAATAGTATGGGGAATAGTACGGGAAATAGTATGAAGAGAAGGTACCAGGTAAAGCAAGCACAGTATTTAGAATCAACCTAGGTCAACCGTTGCGTCTGGATTACAATGCGGTGGGTCAAGTAGCACCACACCGCTGAACAGGAGTCTGGAGTACAGTCCGTCCACATATCGAAATCCAGGTACTTGAGAGTGGGGAGTGTCGCAGGGTATACTATATCCGCGACAGCCAGATCTCACCTCCGTACCCTAGACTACCTCCAATACTCAAGACAAACCCCCGAAGAGGGTTGCTATCCAGTCCAGTCTGGACTGATTCGCGATCCACAGGCGCATGTATGTACAGTACATATGTGTGTGGGTGGGAACAACGGTACTTCCATGCATCAGGTCAGTCAATATATTAGTCGGGTCTTCAATACAGCCAGACCGTCGCCAGCAGGAGCCAGCAGGACCAGTGGATGGAGGGGGTCGATGCTGTGCTTGATGTACATGTCCTGTACATGTACATGTAAAGTACACACGTGTACCTAGACAGACTTACAGACCTGGGTGGGTTTGGGATTTGGATGTTCAGTCCAGGTGTGCAGTTGGTGTCCTGGGCCTGGCTATATGTCCTTTTGTTTTGATGGAGGGTGCGGTAGTGGAGTACTGTACTGTACATAACCCCAGGCTGTGATCGGGTGGATTGGACGGTTTAGGCCGGGTTGGGTTGATGGTTTTTTACCATGAATCCTGCCCTCATCAGATAAAATCATGCTATCGTACCTAGTAACGATACAGTGCTCAACCTAAGCGATTCATTGTGAAGTATGTGAACGAAGTTCTCGAATCTATCTAACAAACAAGCACAACCCCCGAAACAGGGCCAGGCCGTGCAGACTAAAAGGAGCACAGCGGGAAGGGGGTATGTCATACACACAACGCATCATGCAAAGCTATGTAAGATGTAAGGGTCGGTGGTATGGCCGAATATGATGGTATGTATGTACATGAAAAAAACCATATGGTGGATATTGCCTGTTGCCCCACACCACCAAAAAAAGCGTACTCGTACAACTCAAAGCAAACAAGTGTATGAACAGACATGTATGCGTTGTCTGGTTTTTCTGGGGGCATGTTTGTCCCTGAGAATTGAAGTGATGGCAAGCACTCATGTGATAGGTGGTCAAGAAAAGAAAAGAAACGAAAAAAAGAAAAAAAAAGCACGGACCGAGAAATGAAACACCAAACACCGAGCTAATGCAGATGACAAGATCCCCAAGATCAAAGGAGAGAATTGAAATAAATCGGATCGAAAAAGGGGTGGGGGAATATCGAAGAATAGAAAAGGAATGACTTTTAGACCAGATATTATGGTATAAAAATGGTATAAGGATCGACTAACGGCCGCCTTTGGCTCGCTGAACTCCGAGAGAAATATGCATTTTTCGAGTTTCGTATGTGTGTGTGTAGGTATGTGTGTTTGTGTCTGTGCGTGTTCTGGGTCGATTTAGAATTGAGGTGGTGGTATGAACAGGCATCACGTGGAATGAGGATGGATTCGGATTGACAAGGTCATCTGATGCGAAGTATATGGTGGTGTGATGACGGCGCAGCATTTGGAGAATTTTAGATCTGCGTCGAGGCTCCGATCAAATTCGGCTGCGAGATGCTCCCGACCTGCCCCGGTCTGAACTTCTTCTTGCGCGAGAAGCTGATGCTCAGTCGACGACTGAGTCGGCGGACCGGCGGGGTCCAGGCTTCAGTCGAGAGAATCGACATGGGGCGAGATTTCGGGGGCTGCGGATGCGCCGGAACCGCGTAGTAGTCCATTGTCGGGCTGGCGATTGAGGTGCTGGACATCACCGCGTCCTCGTCAATCCCAAAGAAGGATTGGCGTCGTCGACTGAGGACCTTCTCGCTGGTGCTCTGGAGGGACATGTCTTCCACAATATCGTCGAGGGCGTGGGAGAAGCGACGCAGGAGCTTGGGCTTCTCGCAGATCGACGGGGCACGCTGCTCCAGGCCGTACATCTGCAGCGGGGTCGACTCGGGGATATCTTCCCTCACGGGGGTGGAATAGTAGCGGGGGATCTTGTAGTGTTCCGGTCGACGACGAGGAGCGGGCGGAAACCAGACATGGTGATGCGGAGATTGTTGGGAGACGGGGCTTCCGGAGTAAGAGGAACGAGATGAATCGGTGGAGGCGGAGGTCAACATCCTTCTATTTCTGGCAGTGGGTGTGTATGGATGTTTGTGTTAGGTATGGTGGGTGGGTGGGTGGGTGGGTGAGTGGGTGAAGAGGAAGAAAAGAAACGAAAGGAAGATATTGATTGTTGTTAGGGGAAGGAAGAAAAGAAAGTTGTAACACGGATATGACGAGGGAGGCTGAAGAACGATAGTAGACTAGAGACGATAGACTGGGGAGGAGGAGTAGGAGCAGCAGCAGGGGGGTTGGTGGTTAATTGACAAAGTGGACGGAGTAGGTAGTAGGGGTAGCAACGAGAACGAGAGGATGAGACCAACTCTCAAACGAGTCAGATGGTTCGTTCTGTACTCGGTGTCGGGGGACTATAATTATAGCAGTTTACGGTAGCAAAGAAAGGACGAGAAAGAAACTAAAAGGAGAAAAGTGGGGGCATCCGGAGGATTCACGGCTTCACTGGCCCAAGACGGATGGAGATGGATCCAGTTATTCGCAGTGAACTGCCAGTGGTAATTCGGTGTAATTGATCGGTACCAACTACGCGAGTTGCCAGTGATGGGCCTGGTGGGCAGGAGGGAAGACTCGATGGGATATGCTTAGGAAGCGGACTGAATGAAGAGAATTATCAATCAGATCACCTATCAAGATCTGTCTAGTACATGTATATGTATTGTGTACACCATACTACATACTACTAGGCACTCTAGCCGCCTGACTGCGCCGTTTGCCGTGGGTAGGAAGCAAGCCGATTGGGGTGAGCCAACCGCCTTGACTGGCTCAATGACGCGGCAATTGGTCGCCATGTCAAACACGGTTTTCTATGGTTAGCTACTCTGGCTGAAACATGCATGGACAACATCGTTTGATCCGCTTGTCGACACGCACTCAGGTGATGAATAGATCTCAGGAGATTTCATGGATGTGTGGAAGTGTTGGAAGTGATGAAATTGGAGGTGTGTGTGACATCAAAGTGGAGGAAGACAAACAGAGCAAACTAATTATCTGGCATTCATTGCATACTCGGACTAACTGCGAACTGCCTTACCCTAACTACCCTGAACTAGTACTGTACCACATTACCACCACATCACTCTTCCTTATCCCTCGGCCCGATCATACTGATTCCTTACCAGTGTGACCGACCTGGCGATGCTGCGCTCAAGCGAAGGAAATCATCAAGAGTCAAAACTGGGGCGGGCCCCGGGACTAGCGAGTAGTGTAGAGCCAGCCACATTGCCCGCTGGGATGCAAGGTGAAACATGATTTGACTCGCTAGTGTCAAATCGGTTAAAGCGCAATGATCTCATCGGCCGCAGGGGCAGGCCCGCCGGGGCGGGGAGAGGGGGGGGGGGGCATGTGCAATGCATTGCACTAACATTGGTCTGTTTTTTTCCCTTTCTCCGTACTGCCAGTTGCCGTACTGCCAGTCTGCCACTGCTGCAATATTCGGGAGTCATGTATGGTACGGGCACCCTTTTCCAGCTGGATGAAATGGCGTGCTTAAGAGGATCTTGGGACTTGAGTGTACGGTACCCGAGCACAGTATTGAATCAATTTGCTCAGCCAACCTTGACTATAAAACTGATTCCCCGGTCAACCTGCGGTTCGCCGATCACGGCAGCTTATTATTGACATGATCCTACTGTTGACTAACCTATGTGCGGCTCAATGAGCTCCCTCCTTTGTTCCACGGGGCAGTGTTGTGGTGTGTTTATTCTCCTCCTACACAACGAGAAAAACAAAGTAGCGAAAAATTTTTTCAACAATCCACTCCCTCATTCACCGTCTCTTCGTATCCAAACTTCGGATCACTCACCGGTAGTTCCCACCAGCAAAATCTACTAAATCGAAACACAATGGCCATGCCCGACAGCTCGGGCGTTCATCGAGGGCCGGGAATGTCCTATGTAGAAGCTCAGACCTGAGCTTGAATTTTTCTTCTTTTTCCGCGTTCTTCCTTGGCTGCATCGGATTTAGGCAGAAGCATATACCACTGGACAAGGGACGGAAAGGTCATCGTCCAATTCACGCAGACAAGACAAATACAGAAAACAAACAAACAAATAAGTAGCCGCCGCCGCTCCACAATTGTCAATCTAGTAAAGTCTCCACCGTACAAAGAGTCAAGCACTTTGATCAATCCTATTCCTACCGTATCTTGCACCCTTCTTCCGACGTCCGGAGGAAAAAGTATGGGTCAATGGACGAATGACGCGTTACCGATTTGCATGTCATATTGTCAATCCGTGCCGACTGACATACACTACGGTTGTCGTCTCCGTTTGTGGTGGCAAGCTCTGGGATCTTGGATGGTTGTATAATTGGTGGACGCCGATGAAAGCCCTAATGTGGCACACGGCGTCCCATGGCTATGGTTGATGGACGAGGCGTCTTCCCGAACGTCTGGAACTCAGCCACGACCGTTGCTGTCGCGTTCAGTTCATCATCACAGATATTCATGGCAGTTCTAGAAACACTGCGGCGGGAAATCCTATCAATTGATGGTCATCATAGCCGACAAACCTACGGTAGCTCTCATGTCAGATACATGGAGACACACGATTGAGTAGATCTTCGCCACTAGACCGGAAGCCAGGCTCACCAAAACACACGGTTTGAACGCAGACATCTTCGTCGGCCGGTGCTATATTTGGATCTGTGGACCAACGGATAGCGTCAACGTAAGCACAGCCCTAGAATCGACTCCCCTACAGTAGTGTGGCCACCACGTCAACACGATGATGATCCGTACATTTCAGCGTCGTCGCAATGTATCAGCGAACTGTACAGATGAGTAGTACTCGCACTTGAGGCTGCATCAGCCGGACCCCACTGTCGTCGATCATCTGGAGCGCAAAGACGCGCGCGCGCGCGTGCAGGCCGTCAGTCTGTCACGCACAGTCCATGAGGCATTGAGTCTAGTCCGAACTTCATAAGAAGCGGTCGGTCGGTCGGAGTTGATGCGCTGGGCGGGCCTGTGCGAGACATCTGCTGAGGGCTGACAGCGTGAACATGCAGCGAGCATTGGCCGTATAGGATCGGCTGTTTTGACCGTTCGAAAGATCAACAACTGACTGCCAGTGGCTTGACAATGTGCGAATGGATGGACAGCTTGCCCGTTGTACTACTAGTCATCCAACAACCCCCAAACCTCATTTGAAAAGACCCCCGAAATGGAACCACTACCCACCCCTTATTGAGACGAAAATTGACCTTCCATATGATATCGGAAAACCATCAAAACCCTCTCTGCCCCTAAAGTTCAATAGTAAAGCACCACAGCCAAGCCAAGCGCAAAAGGATCTAAGACAAGCCCCCTCCCGAGTCTCCGAGTGCCCCCCACCGTCGGCGCCCGCGCCCGCGCCCAGAGGCGCACACTGCCTGTCGTCTAACCCTTCACTTAGTTCACTATAAACCACTGAAACCCTTCTCAGGAGACATTGTAAGAAACACCAGATCTGAGACAGGGGGAGGCTATACCTTCATGGCCAAAGCAATCAATCGCATTCAGTCGAGTACGGTACAGTACAGTGTGCACCTTTGCAGAAGGCATACATCGCTAATCAATCACTTATCGCTATCGATAACATGCAGTCTTAAGGTAGTGTGCATCAGCTAGATTGCAGTGCAGCCAGCATTCCTTCTAGAAGGAACCCCGTGTGCATTCCACGCCAGCGGCCAGCCGGATGGTCGGCTACCTGCCAGGTACCTAGGTGACTTGGGTGTTGGTGGCGTTTTTCCCCCATCTCCAGTCTGCCCGATACCGCCGGCACAACTACACTACACTACACTGCACTAGTCAATAAACCCCATAACAAGGAAAAATATCCCAAATTTTCCTTATTCACCATGAAAACACAATATCTGCCTCTTTCTCAGGGATAGTAAGAGCTAAGGTACAGTACTCATGAGGTAATCAAAACTGATTCCTCAGCTCTAAGAAATCAATAATAGGGGTTCACCACCGCCCCAAAGAGAAAAAGGGCGGCGGGCCCTGCCCCTATTACGGAGCAAGCAAGTAAGTAAGCAACCAACACTTCAGCATGTCATCAGCAGCAGCAGCAGCAGCAGCAGCAGCAGCAGCAGCATCTCTCCACCTTTCTTCCTTCATTCATCTTCTTCCATGGTTATAACCGATCCATGGCCTGATAAACCCCAGTAGATCCTGGACGCTTTCTCAAACCTCTACCATCAGACTACTGAGTCCCAATAGTAACTTACCTCCCCAAGTCACGCATACATACATACATACTGTCCTGTAGACACCTAGGTGGTCCACCGGTAGGGTCAAGTGCCACCGAGAAAACCAGACGGACCCTGAACAGGGGTAGTCATCCAACAAATTTCTACAGACAGTCAGACACCAGAAGACCCTGAAGCTAGCTAGCAGCTACGGTACCTAACTTATCCAGTAGCTAAGCCCGCTAAGGCTAAGGCTTGAAGCCCCTGCTCCCCTTCCTTCCCTTCGGCTTGGCGAATGCCCCGTAGACTAACGTTACCGCTCAGAGCTGTTTAATCAAACAGGGTCCCCGCCCTTCAAATTTGGCTTCGTCGGGGGTCCCTCGGGGGGGCCAGGATTCCACAGATGCACTACTTCGTAGACTAACGCAGGAACTATCGGCGGACTACGGACTAGTTCTACTGAAGCCTGAAGGATGGATCTTGCCACGACCGGCTACACAAGAGGGCGGCGCCTCGCCCGCCTCGGGAGGGTCGGAGATTAGGTGGGGGTCTGCATTGCTCTAGTTCAGTTTGCTATGACTACATTCGGAAGAAGGTCTGTTCCTTGGGAATGGGATTACCTCATAGGGGAGGGGACGGAAATCGGATTTCTCGTAGCCAGGGATATTATAAGATCAGGTCTAAGTCAAGAGGAGGTTAAGTAATCAGATAAATACTTTTCTTCAATCCATAGTTGGCTAAATGAATAATCAACAAAAACAATCGAGGGTTCCCAAGGTATCAAAGTCATCAATCATGAAGAAAACAGCAGACCTCACAAAAAATATGGACAAGAAATCCATAACCACCAAAATGCTGATACATGATCAAGGCGT